TCATACTCAACGAGATTTGGCTATAAAGTACCTACTCTTTTAGCGCTCGATGAGTAAGTACTTATTGAAATTAAGTACCTACTCATTGAGTATGCGGTTTGGAACGCAGATGGTCTATTGAGAATGAGGAGTTGACGTCATTTTACAGAGCCCCTCCCCTCTCCGCCATGTTGGTAGGTTTCCCACGGCAAAACAGTATTGTATACGTGTGTTTTTAGCTCGGTAGAGGAGTTTCTCGCAATACCACACTGAAAATAATGTATACTAATAATAATAATTTACACCAAAAATCATGTTTGAGCAATTTTTACTGTAGAATTTTTGTTTAATGGATTTTTTAATTTTGCGCTTTAGACTGTGCACAATAAGCAGCCAAATGCATTTTCTGTCCATTTTGTGGCGCTGTTCATCGGATACCTCAGTGGGTGCGTTAAATTGGACATTGTCCCATTAGAGTAGAGTAACTCCTCTGACGAAATCCAAATTTTTAGCAGTTTTTACTGTAGAAAGTTTTTTTAATTAATTTTTTAATTTTGCACTTTAGACAGTGCACAATAAGCCGCCTAATACATTTTCTGCCCATTCCGCGGCGCTGTTCCTCAGCCGTCTCAGAGGGTGCGTTAAATTGGACATTAGCCCATTATAGTACAGCTACTCTTCTAACGCAATCCAAATTTTGAGCAATTATACTGTGGAATTTCTTTTTTATGAAGCTTTGAACTTTGAGCTTTTCATTTTATAATAGCTTTAACATACACATTAATTTTGCTTAAATGCATAAATGATGTTTATAAATACTATAATTTGAGGTATCTTATAACTGTACTTTATATTTTATTATTATTATTATTATTTAATTTATATTTAGAATTTAGCTTTTTACAGTGCACAATAAGCCGCCTAATGCATGTCCTGTCAGCGCTGTTTCTCGGCCGCCTCAGAGGGTGCATTAAATTGGACATTGTCCCATTAGAGTAGAGCTCCTACTCTGACGAAATCCAAATTCTGAGCAGTTTTTACTGTAGAATTTTTGTTAAATTAATTTTTGAATTTTGCACTTTAGACAGTGCACAATAAGCCACCTAATGCATTTTCTGCCCATTTTTTGGCGCTGTTCCTTAGCCGCCTCAGAGGGTACGTTAAATTGGACATTGTCCTTTTAGAGTAGAGCTATTCCTCTGACGAAATCCAAATTTTGAGCAGTTTTTACTGTAGAAAGTTTTTTTTAATGAATTTTTTAATTTTGCATTTTAGACAGTGCACAATAAGCCGCCTAATGCATTTCCTGCTTATTTTGTGGCGCTGTTCCTCAGCCGCCTCAGAGGGTGCATTAAATTGGACATTGTCCCATTATAGTAGCGTTACTCCTCAAACGAAATCCAAATTTTGAGCAGTTTTTAATGTAGAATTTTTGTTTAATGATTTTTGCACTTTAGACTGTGCACAATAAGCGCATAATGCATTTTCTGCCCATTTTGTGGCGCCGGTCCTCAGCCGCCTCAGAGGGTGCGTTAAATTGGACATTGTCCCATTAGAGCTATTACTTTGACGAAATCCACATTTTGAGCAGTTTTTACAGTAGAATTTTTTTATGAATTTTTTAATTTTGCACTTTAGACTGTGCACAATAAGCCGCCTAATGCATTTTCTGCCCATTTTGTGGCACTGTTCATCGTATACCTCAGAGGGTGCGTTAAATTTGACATTGTCCCATTAGAATAGAGCTATTCCTCTGACGAAATCCCAATTTTGAGCAGCTTTTACTGTAGAAAGTTTTTTTAAATTAATTTTTTAATTTTGCATTTTAGACAGTGCACAATAAGCCGCCTAATGCATTTTCTGCCTATTTTGTGGCGCTGTTCCTCAGCCGTCTCAGAGGGTGCGTTAAATTGGACATTAGCCCATTATAGTACAGCTACTGCACTAACGAAATGCACATTTTTAGCAATTATTACAGTGGATGTTTTTTTTAATGAAGCTTTGAACTTGGCACTTTACTCAATGCACAAACGCCTAATGCATTTTCTGCCCAATTCACGGCCTTGTGTCTCAGCTGTGTCAGAGGGTGCGTTAAAGTGGACTATAGCCCATTATAGTACAGCTACTCTTCTAACGCAATCCAAATTTTGAGCAATTATACTGTGGAATTTCTTTTTTTATGAAGCTTTGAACTTTGAGCTTATCATTTTATAATAGCTTTAACATACACATTCACTTTGCTTAAATGCATATATGATGTTTGTAAATACTATAATTTGTGGTATCTTATAACTGTACTTTACATTTTTAGGGCCCATGCCCTGAAACAACTTTAAGCCAGCCCAACAGGAAGTCAGTTATTTTGGTCTGTATGTGGATGTTTTTCAAAACCAGCCTTTACATTTTTATTAACTCCTCTTAAGTGTTTTTTTTTTTTTATTCCCACCAAACTTCTTCAAAATTATGAAAATACATTAAAGATGCTAAATTGTTAACGGATATCAAATATCTCAAACAGTTTTGCTATGGCGAAGGATTATGTCAAAAAAAGAATCAGGAAACGTCTCATATCTTCTAAAAAATTTATTATACACCATTTATTTTTCTATAAGCCTATAGCAATATTAGAACTATACCCATTTTATTCCTTTTTCAATATAACAATTATGTTTAAGTTTAAAAACAGCCAGATTGGTTTAGTAAAAAAAAAAAAATCATTCATAGTGCTATACTGCCCTCTTGTGTGTAAAATCAGGTAGGCCTATTGGATTAATATATAAATACATAGGATTGGGGCCTAAAATGAAAGTAACGGAATTATGGCGAGAAACGTGAAACAGGAAGTGTGTTATAACTTCAGCATACATTAACTGATCTTGATGAAACTTCAGCAGTGTGTTCACTGTAAGAGGCCGATCACATGGATGTGACTATTGTGAGACAAAGTTATAGCGCCACCAACTGGCAGCAGGAAGTGTGTCACTTTCAAAATGCTTTGAAATCACCCTCTTATTTTTACCCGATTTGTTTCAAACGTCATTGCTTTAATGTAGACACACGACAAATATAGACCTGTGAATGGATTCTCGATATCTTTGACTGCATTTACACTGCAGGTCTTGATGCCCAAATCCGATTTTTTGACTAGCCTATATCCGATTTTTTTGACGACCTGCTAACATCATCTTTTAAAAGTGACCCATATCCGATTTTTGCATTTACACTGCTGAAACTATGTAGACGTTCTGACCCGGGAAATTAAGTAAAACAGCACAAAATGCAATGGATACAGATGTTAATAAAATTATCCAGCGTTTTTCTTTCCACAATATTTTGAAAAGTCATCAAAACATTGGTCCCGTACGGCAGAGAAAAAAGAGCGGAGGAGAGGCACTGTAGCCACGAGCGCTTAAAATGATGCCTCATATCTCGTGAAATATCTTCAAATACAGATTTATTTCTGTAACAACCCAGCATTTTAGCCTGCACTCTTCGCCCCAAACACTCAAAAGACATGAAACCTCTGCATTGCTCCATGCACTGTGTGTATCCTTTCTTCCATCGCGCCTGTAATCGCGCACTTTTTAATGACGGACGACTCACATTTACTGGGGAATATCCGATTTGTCTGCTTACATGGCACACGCAAATGCACGTATCCGATTCATATCCGATTTATTAGGCCTACCACATATGAATGAGGCCTGAATCCGATCTGAGAAAATCGGAATCCATGCGTTTTTTTCCTGCTTACACGTTCAACGGTCATATCCGATCTGTGCCACATGAGAGGAAAAAAATCGGATTTGGGTCACTTGAACCATGCAGTGTAAACGAGGCCTTTGATACTGTTGCCGTGGCAACGCATCAAACTTTAACATTCTTTTTTTTTATGCTTTTGGGGGTCTCAACATACTTGAAATTGCATGAAACTCGACAGATACATCAAATTTATTAGCCAGTAGACATGTGTAACTACGTATAGTAAAATGTCAAAAAAGTAAACACTAAAAGCCTCATATCTTTTAAAAATACAACATTTGTTTCTAAATGAAATTATACAAATATCATAACTAAACCAATTTTTCCCTTTTTTCAATTTAAGAATTATGTTTACGTTCAAAAACAACCAGAATGGTTGTAAAATTCAGATAATAAAAAAATCTGAGTCATACATAGTGCTATACTGCCCTCTTGTGTTCAATATAAGGTAGGCCTACTGTGTATATTCTCACCGGTTAATCAACGTGTGACTCCACTGGAACTGGAACAGCAAAAAAATGTCAGGAGATTTGTCACCATGGGTGTTAAAATTATCACTTTCCGGGTGAACATACAGGTCCATCTTTGCTAGTGTTAAAACAACACTGACGAAAGTGTTTATTTTTTAAACACTGTGCTAGTGTTTCATTTAATCACTCAAGGTGTTAGAAATCAAATACACATTTAACACTTTATGGTGTTTAATCACACAACTCCAGTGTATTTTTTTATGTTGATTTAATGTTTATAATGTATACTTATTTTAAAATGGTAATGCAGATGAAGTTTAAAAAAATAAACCCGAAGATATTTTTCCAAAAACCAAGTGACTATGAATTTATTTTAACATTTATTAAAATTAAAATTTTTCAAACATACAATTGAATAAGACAACTATCCAATGCAAAACCATCTTATTATTTCAAAGAATAATTTCACTTTGAAATAAACACATCACTCTTTATTACTCTTAAAAAACTTTATTTCAAAACAATCCAAAAAGTCTGGGATCATAGTAGAATTCTGTTCACTGTAAAGTTAAAAATAAAGGCAAAATGTAAACAGTTGTTTCAAACAAACTATTTTTTTGTTAACGAACAAGCACGTTTACATTATAGGTTAATTTTTAAAATAAACGATGTATGCACAATATATGGATTTCTGTCATCAGAATTATATGATGTGATCAAATGGTGTATAATACTTAAGTCCTGAACATATCAGTGAATGTGAGTCCTGTGTCAGTGAAGTTAATTCAGTACCTTTGACTTTGCAACAGTACAGCAGTGCTTGAGTCAAAAACATTCAGCAGATGAAAAACAGTAGCAGGATATGAGTGGATCAGCTGTATCCAGTCGCTAACAGTAAAGTTCAGTGCAGTTGTTTCACAGAGCAGAAAAGGCTGTGCAGATCCAACTTTAGTGAAAAATCATGTAGTACTGGCTACCTATACAACACAAAACCAGATCATTTACACATTTGTGTTTCATAAATACAGCAAGTTTAGAGTGAAAAAAAGTTCAATCATAGACTCAAACAAAAAAAAATTTTTGTTCGATTAAGACTTGAATTTACTGATTTCCAAGTAAATCGAAGATTTAATTAATCAAAAAAATGTAATTCTGTCATTAATTATTCACCCTCATGTTGTTCCAAACCAGTAAGAGTTTTGCTCATCTTCGAAACACTTAAAGGGATATAGTTCATGAAAATTCTGACTACTTCTCACATGTTTGGAACGACATGAGGGTGAGTAATTTATAATGACAGAATTTCCATTTGTGGGTGAACTAACACTTTAAGAATAAATTAAGACACGCACCTTAAGAAATCTCACTAAATAGTCAGCCGCCGGATTCTGGAAGGATCGGTGTTCTCTTCTTGTGGCTTTGTAATGTTGGGGGCAGGTGATGGGCAGAGATTTTCCAATCAGTTGAGTCTAAAATTAAACAACAAGAAAACATCTACTTGTCAAATCAAGAAAACCATTGATTAGAAATTTTATTTTAAGTATATATATATATATATATATATATATATATATACAGTATATATATATATATATACACTTTTGTAAAGTAATTTGACTAGACAAATTCAAAATCTGTGTTATGAAACAAAGAAAATCTAGTTATACCAAGCTATGATTATTTTTGTTTGTGCCCATGATTCTCTCATATGTTTACTTATCTGTTATCTTTCCATCACCAGGTTCTAGTCTGTACAGTCTTTAAACACCAAGCCTGGTACCCTTAGCCACTTGGTGCATCATAGAATTGCTCCTAGCAAAAACAAATTGCAAAAATCAATACATTTAAACATTAAAGCATCTCCAAATATCAACCAAAAGTTAATCTGATAAATACATTTTGCATCAATATTTAATTTGAAATAATTGCTTACCCATTTTAAGAAGATTGGTCCTCCAAATAAGGAAATAAAGGGAAAATTTCACGTGCATTGTTGGTCCGCAGTTTGTGGAGTTGGTCTTCTGTTTTATACGTTAACCTAAGTTAGATCTGCTGGCAGACGAGAGTAAAAGATAGTTTGAGGATAAATACTTTATGATATTTGCACATCACACATATTGTCATAAAAAATATCATATTATAAAACACGTAGCATAGTAATGAGTAAAAAACACTTAACGTTACCTTAGTTACCTACTCGGTGTTTTCACAGTTAAAAGCAAACTCCGTGTCTGCATTCTGCACTGCTTTTTGAAATGCGTCACGAGTCAAAGATGCAGGACCTGGAAGGTTTAGGCGTGCACATCACATAAATATCATTACTAAACAATATAATGGCATGAAATTCATGAGGTAAATTATGTTAAAAACACTTACTGTAAGTGTTTTCCCTGTTAAGCCCGCTCCACCTGAAAAAGCAAGAACTGTATTATAATTAGTATTAGTTTAGTATTAATTAATAAAAAATAAAAACAATCAGACTTACCACGAGTAGCCTATGCTATCCAGCATTCTGATATCGACGATGACAAATTATATCATTTGTCTGTACTATTCCTTCTATAAGAAATCATATTAACAATATAGTGTAGCAGTAAATAAATATAGATATAAACTTAATATCACCTACATGAAATAGAAAGCTACGCTTACAGACGCTTACAGACGCTTACAGACGCTCACATCCACACGTGTAAACACAACACTCACTGACGTCTTCACTTCCAGGTCAAGAAGCTGTCAATCAAAAACTCAGTAGCCAATGAGAATACACTGCTACTAGCCCCGCCCCCACGAGAGATTTGTGTCAGAACAGCGAACGCAAACTCAGGGAGTGTAAACGAAAACTTCAGAAGCGTAAATGAAAACTCTGGAAGTGCATTTGTAAGTGTAGATCAGTAAACGAAATATGAGGAATAGTTAGCAAAACATGTAGTGTATTAAAAACAAAGTAAAAAAAATTGCTTGCGGTTCATTCTTTTTCAGTTTCAAAGATATTTTATTCAGTTTCAATTTATATTTTCATTAGTTTCTTGAAAAGTTACGTTCATTTTTATTGGCTCAAAATTAATTTCATAACTTTCATGTTGTTTTACTTTTTTATTATTTAATAATTACCTGCCAAAGTCCTATACTGTATACCTGGCTATATAGCAATATTTAATAAATTCATAAAAAATCGAAATCAAATTGCTTTCTGCAAACTCCACCAGATTCTTGTTCTTCATCTCACTGTCTACATTTGTGGTGATTTTCATGTTGTTTTACTGTTTTATTATTTAATAACTAACTGCCAAAGTCCTATACTGTATACCTGGATATATATAGCAATATTTAATAAATTTATAAAAAATGCAAATCAAATTGTTTTCTGCAAACTCCACCAGATTATTGTTCTTCATCTCACTGTCTACCATTGTGGTGATTTTTTTGTTGTTTTACTGTTTTATTATTTAATAATTAACTGCCAAAGTCCTATACTGTATGCTATATACTGTAGCAATAGTGTTAGTAATGGAGTTCATTTATTTCCCTTTAGGTTAAAGAATAAATTAAGTTAAGTTTTGGTTCACAGAAATTCTGGCTGGTGAATTGTTTTCTTTATTGCTTTTGCAATATGCAGCATATGTATGCAGTATTGGTCATGACTTTGGCAGTTAATTATTAAATAATTAAACAGTAAAACAACATGAAAATCACCACAATGGTAGACAGTGAGATGTAAAACAATAATCTGGTGGAGTTTGCAGAAAACAATTTGATTTCGTTTTTTTATTAATTTATTAAATATTGCTATATAGCATACAGTATAGGACTTTGGCAGTTAATCATTAAATAATAAAACAGTAAGACAACATGAAAATCACCACAATGGTAGACAGTGAGATGAAGAACAAGAATCTGGTGGAGTTTGCAGAAAACAATTTGATTTGCATTTTTTATGAATTTATTAAATATTGCTCTAGCAATGTAAATATTCATGATTTTGGCAGACAATTATTAAATAATAAAACAGTAAAGCAATATGATAATCACCACAGTGGTAGTCTGTGAGATGTAGAACAATAATCTGGTGAAATTTGCAGAAAAAAATTTGAGAAAATTTTTCAATGAATTTATTAAATATTGCTGTATAACAAGGTATGCAGTGTATAGGACTTAGGCAGGCAATTATTAAATAATAAAACAGCAATTTTTTGATAACAACAATTATCAACATAAAAATCACCACAGTCGTAGTATGTGAGATGTAGAAAAAGAATCTGGTGGAATTTGCAGAAAACAACATGATTTTATTTATTTTATTAAAAATATATATATTTTTAAAAGTCTGCCGTCACCAAGCGCATGCACCTTGAGCCTACCACGCAACCTCGTGTAGACGCGCAATATATTTTTAAGCGTAGATGGCGTGACCGCGCTTTTCAGAAGCACAATCAATCAATCAACTTTATTCCAGACACAAAGGTCCATAGAGACAACACAGTACAGATATTTAAATAAATAAATAACAATACAAACAGTTAAAAACAGTAAAATTGAAGAGGCATCATTTATAAAACACGTACAGGCTTCGAGTCCAATGTTTCCAAAAGCAAGATGTATACCTTGTGTCACTCTTAGAAACATCAGTTATAGACACAATGATCATATTCTTAGACCCTGTCAGTCTGCACATGAAACAATACATACACTTTCTTAAAACAGCCTTAAAAGTGGGCACATTGTTAGCCACAAACATTTCACTGGCACTACTCCCCCACAGATGGCGTGACCACAGTTATAAACAGTGCTATAAGGTCATCTAGTGGATAGTCATGATAGCATGTTATATTATTTTTTTTCCACAAGAGGTCAGCAAAGACACCCAATGTAAGATGTTTTGAGCTGAATTAGGCAAGAAATTTTGAGTTATTTTGAATTTTAGTTGAAAGAATGTGAGGAATGTGCTTAAATTACTAAATTCAGGAGGAAGAGTTATCAAATATTGGACGGAATCTATCCATAATGGAGCTGTTATCAAGCAATCAAACAATGAGCGCCATGCTATGTGCGCAATCAAACAATGTGCGCGTTTTGGCCGCATGTAATCCATCTTCATTTATAAGCTATTTCGTTTACTTTGCTTGTCTATTTTATTGTAATGGTTTTTAGGAAAATGTTATTGTAGTTTTTCAGAAATAATAGCGCAGTAAGCCTTATCTAAGGCCTGTACAATTTGTCTATATGGGAGGGTTTTTTTAGACATTGGGTCTCATTCATGAAATACGAGCAGTACGAATTTGTGTGTAAATCGTGTGTAAAGTGGTTCTGGCGTAAATTTTTGGATTCATTAAAATGTTCGTATTTTCCAAATGTTAGTACGCAAGAAATCTACACCTGCTCCCAGCCACGCATAAATGGTGTGCTTAACATCCGAACGTTTTGCTCATTAATAAGGCTGCATTTTAATTCACCTTAATCGGGTACATATTTAAAGAGCATTTTGAAAAAAATATTTTATATAGTAATTAGGCCTACATATGGTTTTTCTTTTTACTTTTATTATGAGAACCAGTAATATCAGATCTGGTGATCGATCGCGGTCCTTCTCCTGTTTGAATACGATTTTTCCGAAGTGAACTAATTTGTTTTTTGCTGCAAGCTTATGTTGAACCATTTTCTTCTCACTTCTGGGACTGTTCGATTAACAGATGAAACTCCATTAACTGCATCTGTAATATGCTGCCAAGCTTCCTTTTTTAGGACCTGATAGGCCACTATGTATGCTTGAAAATAAAATGTGGCGTTTTTAATGGACTTCTGATAATAAAACTTCAATTTCTGCATCCGAGAAATCTTTCTTTTTTATTCGCATTCATGTTATATAGATGTCAGTCAGATATAATGGGCCTGATTTATGAGAATGAACGTGCACGCGCATCCCATTTACGACTGGTTGGAATTCACTAACACACACACACATTTTACAATCACATCTGACGTTTACGAAGTATTTGTGAATCAGGAGAAGAGTTTTCGGGAAGGTCTCTTTACACGCAAATCACTCTCATATTTACTCGCAGATTTACGAATGTTTCATGAATAAGACCCATTGTATTTACTCTGTGCATATATATTGTTATGATAAAGGCTCCAGTAATAATAAAAGTCCTATGACTTGAACGTAAAATATGCACACATGATGATGAATAGCTAATCTTAATTTCATTATTAGAAAAGCTGTACAGCTTTTGATATGTGGGAATCTAAAGTAAACTAATGACAAAATTTGTGTGTTTTAGTCTAAATCAGGAAACCGCAGAGCAGCCGTTTACATCTGCGAGCCCTGCCTTGAGGTCGCATCATAGGGGAAGGGGGAGGAGGCAGTCACTTTCACCTGTCAGATGTCCAGCACCACCAGCTGGAACAAGGATGGAAGACCGAAAATGATCCTGATGTGGCCCCCATTCCACAGTTTTGCCCCGACTGGAACCTGGAGTGCAATTGGACACCTCCACAGAGCAAAGCCCCCTCAGCCTTTTCAAGCTCTTTTTTTAGAGCTGATTCAAGGACATTGTGTGTCAAAGCAAACAAGCTGGCAGAGAGAAACATTGCTGCTGGGAAAAGGTACAAGTGGACCACCATCAACCCTGCAGAGATGTTCAAATTCATTGGAGTTCTAAAGCTCCCAGCAGTAAGAGACAATTGGAAGAGAAAAAACATTTTTTACAATCAAACATCAAATATTGAAACATCAATATTTCAAGTCTTTCAAATGCATTGCACAGTGCCATCTAGGGGTGGTTTTTGGATATTTTGTAAATTGAGACTGCAGTTAAAAGTCATTGGTGAATAGGGCCTACAGCTATGTATGCTATGAGCAGGGCTCTGGATTGCAACTCTTTCACTAGCATATATGGTTATAAATATATAAATATAAATGTTTTACAAGCATAGTGGGTGAGTGAAGACTAAAACCTACTGTAAATGTTATATTATACTTTTATACATTTATAGTTCCTCCTCCAGGTTGTGGTTATTAGCCTCTGCAGTGGAAAGATGTAGATTTAGCCAGAGCCAGGATGTCACTGTGCAAAAACACAATTTATAAAATATATATTTCATAAATCATATTTTTTTTAAATAAAAAACTGAACTTCACCTGCCTTCCAGCTCCCCTTTCTATCGCTATAATAGCATAGCTGCTAAAAACTCTCTTTATTTTTCCTTTGCATTTTTCTCCAGTGTAATATTATTATGTTCGTTAAGTAGATTAAATATTTTTAACCCTTGTGCATCAATTATATAGAGGACAAAAATGTCCGTGTCAAAAAACTGTCATAGAAATGTGAAGCTTGGAGCACAGACTTAAGTTGGTATCATTTTAAAGAAGACCCATGGCAGATTATTGCTCAAGTAAACTAAAGCTAAATTAAAATAATAAGTAGTAAATCCAAAAAAAAAAGTTATATAGGTATAAGTTTATGAAAATTATTTATAAAAAAATATGAAAATATGATTTATAAAATATATATTTTATAAATCAGGTTGAACTCAAAAACTGCAAGAAAATCAAAGCCATGAATCTGAATAGGTTGTGTTCCAAATTTGAGTTGGATAGGCCTATCTCAAAAAAAATGAGCTTTCAGTAAGTTTGTTTGGGTGCAGTAACAGATTTCCCCCACTGGGTGCCAGCAAAACTCCACTGGTGCACACAGTGATTGGAT